CACACACACACACACACACACGCACACACACACACAAACCTTGCATTCTGTCTTTCTTTCCCTTCCATTCATTCTTTCAAAGGAGCAGGCGATACAGGCCGTCACTTTCAAAAGCACACACACACACAGACACACACACGCACACACACACAGACACACACACGCACACACACACAGACACACACACGCACACACACACACACACACACACACACACACACACACACACACACACATCAGCAGGTAGAGGAATCAGAGGGATAATCTACCTCAATGTTTGCGCCAATCCGATACCCCTCTATGTGCTGGCGAAACTTCAGAAAGATTTCTTTAGGGACCCAGTCTACCTCGTATCGGTCTTCCCACCATAATTTTGGCCTCACTGGAGGGTCTACCCAATCTGCGACAGCCATTCCTGATGCTTCTCGGCTAGCCACCATCATGCCCTCCCTGTCTTGCCATTCACTGCCCGTGGCGGCACACCCAACAGCCGCTCCACTTACGGGAGATGTTCTCGCCGAGTAGCCGTCCCCCCTTCCATCCATCCCCAAGCTGTTTCCTGCCACAACTCTGTCCGTCTCGCCGCCATTCAGCCTCCCATTGGGGGCAACCTGCAAAACAGAAGACAATGCGCCATCGAGGTCGAGCAGACAGAGGCGTCAGTAAGAAAGGTTGGACGCAATAACGCAAGCATACATCAGAAGTTTGAAAACAGGCCAGGAAAAAAAAAAAAAAAAACACCAGGAAAAGAAAAGTCGAAAAATGGTCCTTGGGGATAAACCCGTCAAAATTGGAATTTGGAATGATAAAAAATAAAATAAAAGGAATGATATAGAGAATGGTAATAACCAAACGGTCCCGGCAAAGGATGACCAAAAAAAAAAAAAAAAAAAGGGAAAAAAAAAAAAAAAAAAAAAAAAGAACAACGTGTGAAGGCATGAAGATATCGCCGAAACATCTGAGAAAGTACATGAAGCATGCAACAAGACTAACGCATGTGCAAGGAAAGAAGAAGGACAGCTATGAAGGAGAGCAAGTGCCAGGGAGTGCCACAATCTGGGAGATACGAAGACCCAATTGCTAAAACAAGACTGTGGGCACGTTCTACTTCTTGTGCATACACTAATCTGCATTCAGTTCAATTGAAGCCGCTGATGATCTTTTCACACAGACTCTGGGTACTTCAGCATCTTCTCTTAAGGGGGAGCAGGGGAATAAGATACTCCACGGAACGGGTGGAGGATCCTTACACTCTTATCCCCCCCTTCCCCCT